AGCGACTGCGTCCCTGGGGCTGCAGGGCCCTTCGGTCACAGAGGGTTCTGCTCATTCGCAGTTGAATTTCCAGGTGCTTTTCCACTCCAAATATCTTAAGCTCTCTTAGGATAAATTCTCTGAACTCTTAACGATATATTTTTCCTAGTGTGTCTTTTGAGAGAGATTTCATTTTGCTCATTTTTGAAAAGATGAAGCTCACTCATGTAAATAGTTGCAGTGGGACACAGCCCTGTCTCTCAGGGGCTGGTGTATTTGCACCCCCCTTCCACTCCTGCCACTTTTTGTCAGATTCTTTATTGTACTCTAAATGGCTTTTTTTATATTTTTTTAAGAAAGACATTAACATTCTCTAATGAGAGCAGGTGCGTTGTTTTCTTGATAAATAACAGTTAATTAAAAACCAACAAGCTAGGAAACCTGTAAGTGGAAAAGGATTGTGTGGATGCGAGCAGTATATTTTTATTTTTGGGTGCAGTAACTATTTACTGAAGTCTTAATATATTAATTTATCTCAGGCAATGTTTAATATCAAACCTTGATGAAATTGAGGTTTGGCTGCAACAATTGCAAATCATTGCAAACATCATCCAAAGAGGAAAAAAACCCATCAAATGTTGTCGATGTTTTTCAAGATTTGCTTGGGTAGGAAAATCGGCTTCAGTGCTTTTTCTTGTTTTATATATAAGATTTTGTCTTCCAGGTTTATTTATTTTGATATTCTCTAAGCAGAGGAATGTGTTAAAAGGCAGGATGAAATAAAATCCTAAAAACAGGTTTTTATGACAATTGCTGTTTTAATGGGCAATTTTACAAGGATGGATTTAGTTTCAGTAATAGTTTTAAGAAGAGTTTTAAAGAGACATCAAAGTGTCTGAAATCTTTGTAACAGAGCTAGCCTCAAACATCAGAGGGGAAAAAAAAGTATTTGAAAAGTGTTTCTTACTTTTGAAAAGGTCAGGATTATATATAAAACTACTTTAACCTGTTTCTTTTTCTTCTAAAATGTTGGCCATACTTAAAGTTGATAGTCTTGCTTTAAGGTGGTATTTATGGGGTAAACCCTGTATTGTGTTTTATGCTAAATCATAGACATTTTAAAGCCAGTCTTCTACCTGAAATACAATGTTTTCCAACTCTTTAATTTTTCTAGAATTTTCTTAGTGTAAATGGTTACACTTGCCAATACAAAGGAATTTTGCTAAGAAGGCTCTTATAGACACGTATCTTTATAGTTTCCATATTTTACTTTTTTTTCTTCTGGTACTTTGTTTGTTTATAAGCCTACCTGTTAACATACTTGTAACGCTGTCAAAACTAACCCTGACTGTGGCCCGACTTCGTACAGTTTTCTGCAAAACGGCCTTGTGATTTTTTTTTTCTGTGATGAGAATTGAGAGGAGTCCCCAGGCTACCTCAGTACTTGCATTCATCTCTCTTCTGAAAGCTTTTTTTCTTTCTTTTTTTTTTGTTACATCTATCAGACAACAGCCAGGCTGGGACTGGTCCACCCTCCTCCCACAACATGGGCTGTCTGGCTTCATTGGTCTTAACAGTTGTGTGTTTTACAGCTAGATTAGAAGGCCTTATAGGTAGGCACCATTTAATTTTGTTCCTTGGTAAAGTTAGTTTTTAGGGCCATGGTAACAGTAATTCAGAAAATAAATAACAATACAGTAGCATATGATCCAATGAGCACTCTCAAAATTTCAATCAAGTAATTGGTGGTCAAATGTGGGAAATCTGAACGTAGCCACATCTTAACATGTCTCTTTTTTTTGATAAATTAATTGAAATAATTAATAGATTTATTCTATTGTCCTGTTAATTGTTTATTTTAAACAATTAATATTAAAATGCTGTAAACAGCATAGGTAATTATCTACTGTCATATAATTATTTTTCTGAAGTTGTGTTTGGATTTGAAATCAAAACTAGTGAGAGGCTTTTATTTTTTAGAATTAAGTCATTCAGAAAGAAAACAGCCTTTGTCTCATTATGATTCTGTTAAGCCTGAAATTTCACATTATGAACTGAATACTATCTACATTTTCAAGCTGTCAAGCACAGTATCAAGAATTAATGAGCATATGATTTTTAAATTTTTTTTTTGGTCCATTTATAGGTTAGAAGAAAGTTGTAGGTATGCATGAGAATAATGTCAGGTAGAGATGGAACCTCAAATAAGGAATGTATTTATTATCATATTTATATTTACTTTCACAGCACTGAAACATGAGCAACTACTTTACAAAAATCTGTTAAGTATAAAAGGAGGCCATGTTATTTATACTATTTCTAGTTTACGTTTGAATTACACAGCAAATTAAGGTCAATATACAGAATTTTAGCGTGGATAAAAGCAGAAATTGAGGGAAATAGCTGTATGGTTACATTCCTGTAACACATTTTAAAGCTCTTGCATAGAGGGCTAGATAAAAGTGGGAAATTTACATTGGAAATGTTGAAGTTTGTTAGTAGTAGTGTGGTCACAAGGAAGCTGCTGGTCTGTTGTAGCAAGGACTGCTTGTACTATCTGTTCTCCTGTCCACGACGCAGTGACTAAGGCAAGACGTAGTTTTACAGAGCTGGTCTAGATCTCTCT